GATCCCCTTCAGGGACGCAGGTGCTCCTGCGCACAGGCCTGCCCGCCATCTGCAGGAAGCATGCGGTGCTCCCGGCTCTCCCGGACAGTCTCAGCCGCTGAAGTCAACTCGCCGGCTTCCAGGGGAGGCTTCTCCCTGTGCCTCCGGGTTCTGTGGTCAAGGCCAATGCAGGGCCGGGAGTGATCGCTGCAAAAGAAAAGCCCAGGTGAAGCGCACTCAGCTATCTGTGGCCTGGGAGTCCCCATGCAGTAAGTTTAGGAAGAAACCACCAGAGCCACCGATGGCGCCTGGATCCCCGGTGGGGAGGGAAAGGGCAGCGCGCCTCATCTTCGCGGAGCCATTGCTGCTGTGCTGCGATCTCATCACTTCTATCTTCATTAGTTACTATTCCCATGAGAATGGAAGATATTCATGCAACATTTTATTTTATTTTAATTTTTGAGACGGAGTCTCTGTCGCCCAGGCTGGAGTGCAGTGACGTGATCTCGGCTCACTTCAACCTCCGTCTCCCGGGTCCAAAAGATTCTCCTGCCTCAGCCTCTCGAGTAGCGGGGAGTACAGGTGCCTGCCACCACGTCTGGATAATTTTTGTATTTTCCGTAGAGATGGGGTTTCAGCATGTTGGCCAGGCTGGTCTCCAACCCCTGACCTCAGGTGATCCGCCCCGCCTTGACCTCCCAAAGTGCTAGGATTGCAGGAGTGAGCACCACCGCACCCAGCCTTAATGCGACATTTAAAAAATCCAAATTCATGCTAAACCTTTCATCGTGGGCAAAACATCCGCATTTTAAACCAAGCCGTGGTCAGATCCTGTAACTGCAACACTCTGAGGGCTGTACGAGTGTTGGGCAAGGTGGGAAACGAAGTTTGGGCAAGTTCCATTCCACCTATAAGGTTGTCACCAAAGAAAAGGGAAAGGACTCACTTGCCGAATGGTCCACGCAGCTCCCAGGCGCACGGCACTGCCACAGAGCAGGGGTCTGCTCCCCGAGGACTGGGGCTTTAACGACGATGACCATTTCCCACTTTTGTCTAAAAGGACAGAAGGAGTTGGTGAAGTGTCCGGCTTTTTCCTAAGGGAAGGAGGTGCCGACAGCGTTGCTGTCACTGCTGCTGGCCACAGGAAGATGCAAACATACCGTCCCTCCCGAAGATAGTGTTTTCAACGTGGGCGGCTTAACTGAGGATGCAACTGCAGAAAGGAGCTGACGGGATCGAGGAGGTGCTCCCGGGAGTCTCCAGAGCGGCTCGGGGGCCGCGGGAGCTCCGAGTCATCAAAGGCCGGGCCAGGGAGCCTGGAACAGGAGGGGCGCTGCTCCCGGAACACCTCAGGGCGCATGAGTTAGGGCCAAGAAACAAAGTCACTAATATTTGTTTTGAAACTCAGGCTTTTTCAGGACGTTTTCCTCACTCTTGGCGCCGCCCCAGCGTCTTCCAGGTCCCCGTCGGCGCCGCAAACACAGCCAGGCTTGGACCCAGACCTCCATCCTGTCCTGCCGGGTCCTGTCCTGCCCTGTTGGAGGGGGCGGTTGGGTTCAGTGCCAGGCGCGCGCCCTCTGCTGGCCGTTAGGGCGCAGCGGGGAGAGCGGGGAGCTCGCGACCGAGCGGTAGTCGCTCGGCCCCTCGCGGCCTCTCGCGGAATCGCTGACTTTCTCCGTCCCTTGCTCTCTGCTCCTAGCCGAGGGATGCTCGGCTTCAGCCTTGCCTGCTGCCTTTCCTGAGGCACACCTGGAGCCACTGCTTTAAAGTATGGAAATCTTCATGCCTTTGACATGTCTGAATAGGATCCCCTCTCGGTCAGGCCTGAATGCAAAGACTCAGGCTGCTCCAAGTTCTCTTGGGAAACAGGACATAGCCTCAAAATCCGGAAAACACAAGACACCTGTTTTCACAACCACATTCTCCAGGCTTCAACCATCGACACGGAAGGCCACAGTGGTGCTTGGGATAAGATCTCCTGGAGAAACCACCCTCCAGCCTTGATCACAATTAGGAAGATGAAAGCAGAAAATCTACTTTGTCCTTGTTCGGGAATCATTGTCTAAAGGTTCTTCTAAAAATTCGCCCCCATCTGAAGGGAAAGAAATTCAGTCTTTGCCTGGGAGGTTTTTAGGGGTGAAATTGAAGTGCTTTCTTCCCCAGGTGCAGTGTGTCACACCTATAATCCTGGCATTTGAGAGGCAGGAGGTGAGAGATGAGAGGCTGAGGGAGAAGGATCCCTTGAGGCCAAAGTTCGAGACCAGCCTGGGCAAAATAACGAGACCCCATCTTTTAAAAAATTACATTAAATGAAAATATGAAGGTTTATTTTCCTTCATTTGACATTATCCACAGGAAAACTGTAAAGGAAGTTATACTTGTGGCTCTTTCTAATCAATCATACAGATTGTTTGCCCAGCTCAAAAAGAAATGTCAATTCTTTTTGCTCCTACTGGCAACTATTATTACCAAAATCATGGAATTGCTTTGACAATATCTTGTACATTCTGAGATACAAAAATGTTTAAAGAGAATAAAATCTGTATTCTTTGAAAAACTTTATTATTTGTAATATTCTTTCATCTATTATAATGATATGAAATTGCATTTGCTGTTCTTATGTTTGAACTGAACTTGTGACACTTTCTTCGAAAGAGTATTTTGTTAAGACCGATGGGTATTATAAAGATAAACAGTGATCGGTAGCTTGATTGTACTGCCAATTTATCTTTCTTTCATATAAAAGGCTGGTGCAGGTGTTTCTCATCAGGGACTCACCTGTTTGGCTGTCTTCCAAACAGTGATTCAGAACATGAGTTACTTGGTGTTTTGAGGCTTCGATATCATTAATGTATGACTGTGTAATTGTGGTGCTTAGGTTATTCTAATCCCTGTAAAGGGAAGAAAGTTGATATGATTTGGCTGTGTCACTACCCAAATCTCATCTTGAATTATGACTCCCACAATTGCCATGTGTGAGGAGCCTGGTGGGAGGTGCCCGGTAGGAGGTGATTGAATTACAGGGGTGGGTATTTCCTGCGCTGTTCTCATGATAGTGAATGAGTCTCACAAGAGCTGATGGATTTAAAAATGGGAGTTTCCCTGCACAAACCCTCTCGCTCCTTGCCTGCTGCCATTCTTGTAAGACAGGACTTGCCCCTCCTTGCCTTCTGCCATGATTGTGAGGCTTCTCCAGCCACCTGGAGCTGTAAGTCCAATTAAACCTCTTTCTTAGGTGTTTATCAGCAGTGTGAAAATGTACTAATACAAGTATAGTGGTGCATATGATTTCACAGGCCAGATCTGTGCACAGTACCTATCCCTTCCAGGCACACATAGAGGACCAGGGTTCTTTTACCTGGCCACAGATAATGCCTTCGATGCTGGAAAGAGTGTCCCATTTAGTGAGTAGTGGGAGAGAGGGTGCGTGTTTGGTGTATAAGTCTCCTGTTCATTTTTATACTGTGTGTAATAAGACTCTTTAAAAACACAAGAAACCAATTTCCTTGTTTGCACATTTTTTATACTCAAAGATACGACCTGAAACCTGATTTAAAAAAAAAATTAAACTCAGGGAAACAACTCAAGGAAGAGGGCATGGATGGAACTCAGCCAGTAAAGTTCAGCATCTTTGGTCCTTCAAAAGAGAAATTCATGGTTTTTTCCCAACAGCAGAGACTAGAATTAGAGAATGACTGGTTTTCCAAGGTCTTTGAATACGTTATTAGATTCAGCTGTTTCTCTATTGCCGGAGGAAGACTAAGCAGGCCTGGGGAGATCCGTGCAGTTATTCGGGATCCCGAAGAGGACTGACAGGACAGTGGGACCGAGGCCTCCAGTAGCAGCTACACCCTCCTTTCTCATCCTGATGCTCCAAATTGTGCAAATCCAATCTTTAAGAAAATATAATGAAATGATTATTTTTTTTAATATCCCATACATTTTTCATTTGTAACTTCCCTAGTTAGAGCCATGGATCCTTTAAAATGTGTCTTTGGATTAACTATCATCCTCTCAAATCACCTATAACTGGTATGTGTGTTTTTCTGTTACTACGGCCATCGTTGTTAACTTTGAGTATACGGACAAGAGTTCCTTAAATGGTAGGCTCTAGGCTGGATACCAAGGAAACCAGGTGATACACACTCTCCACCAACAGACATATTTGGGCCCCTTGGAGAGTCATTCTAAAAAGAGATCACGCCATCAAAGACAATACCCCTAGCAGTGAAAAGAGAGAACACAGCCATGCTTCCTGGATAAAGAAGGGAGAACATGCTAGCCCGCAACAGAGCGCACACGGCACTCACGTGCCTGTTTCGGTTTTCAACTGGTGTCCAGAACTACATGTCCTAATTTTGGAAGTTCAAATGGGAAAAGAGCCCACTATTCCATATGTTGACTAGAGTGGATGGGAATAACAAGGAGAAAGTGTCATTTTCATTATTTTAAGACTATTAATAGCTGGGACAGAAGAGAATGGATTTCTTTTTCAGATGAGCAAACAGTAATCTGTATAACTGATCAGAAAGTTACAGGTGTAACTTCCTCTATGGCTTTCCTGTGGGGAAGGTCAAACGAGAGGAAAGCTCCCTTCAGTTTCACCCCTGACCACCTCCCTGTCTTTGTCTTCAGGTGGTGATTTCTTAGAAGAATCTGTAGACAACGATTCCCAAACAGATACACTAGAAGAATTTCTGCTTTCATCTTCCAGTCTGCGATCAAGGCTGGAGGGTGGTTTCTCTGGGAGATCTTATATCAAGCCCCACCGTGGCCCTCCGTGTCCAGATGGCTGAAGCCTGGAGAATGTGGTTACAAAAACAGGTGTCTTGCATCTCCCGGATTTTGAAGCTATGTCCTGTTTCCCAGGAGAACTTGGAGCAGGTCTTTGCATTCAGACCCGAATGAGGGGGGATCCTATTCAGACATGTCAAAGGCATGAAGATTTCCTTACTGTTAAGCCGTGGCTCCAAGGCGTAGCCCAGTAAAGGGAGCAGGCAAGGCTGAAGCCGAGCACCCCCCAGCCAGGAGCAGAGAGCAAGGGACGGAGAATGTGAGCGATTCCGCCAGAGACCGCCAGGGGGCGAGCGACTAACGCTCGGCCGCGAGCTCCCCGCTCCCCGCGCTGCGCCCCAACGGCCAGCAGAGGGCGCGCGCCTGGCGCGGAACCCAACCGCCGCCTCCAACCGGGCAGGACAGGACCGGGCGGGACCGGACGGAGGTTTGGGTCCAAGCCCGGCTGTGTTTGCGGCGGGTCCGGGGCTTGGAAATCGCTGGAGCGGCGCCAAGAGTGAGTAAAAAGTCCTGAAACAGCCTCAGTTCCATAAAATTAATGAATTAGTTTCGTAGCGGGCCCTTCCTCTTCCGGGCTCCCTGGGCCGGTCCTTGATGACTCTGAGCTCCTGCGGCCCCCGAGCCGCTCTCCGATCCCATCAGCTCTTTTCTGCAGTTGCAGCCCCAGTGAAGTCGCCCACTTCGGCTCACGCCTGTCATCCCACCACTTTTGGAGGCCGAGGCGGGCGGATCACAAGGTCGGGAGATCGAGACCATCCTGGCCAACATGCTGAAGCCGCATCTCTACTAAAAATTCAAAAATTAGCTGGGTGTGGTGGTGCATGCCTGTCCTCTCGGCTACTCTGGAGGCTGAGACAGGAGAATCCTTTGAAACAGGTAGTCGGAGATCTCAGTGAGCCAAGATTGCGCCACTGCACTCCAGTCTGGCGAGAGAGCGAAACTCCATTTCTAAAAGAAAAGAAAAAAGAGAACACGATTGTAGGGTGGGCAGTATGTTTGCATCTTCCTGTGGCCAGCAGCAGTGACAGCAACGCTGTCGGCACCTCCTTCCCTTAGGAAAAAGCCGGACACTTCACCAACTCCTTCTGTCCTTTTAGACGAAAGTGGGAAATGGTCATCGTCGTTAAAGCCCCAGTCCTCGGGGAGCAGACCCCTGCTCTGTGGCAGTGCCGTGCGCCTGGGAGCTGCGTGGACCATTCGGCAAGTGAGTCCTTTCCCTTTTCTTTGGTGACAACCTTATAGGTGGAATGGAACTTGCCCAAACTTCGTTTCCCACCTTGCCCAACACTCGTACAGCCCTCAGAGTGTTGCAGTTACAGGATCTGACCACGGCTTGGTTTAAAATGCGGATGTTTTGCCCACGATGAAAGGTTTAGCATGAATTTGAATTTTTAAAATGTCGCTTTAAGGCTGGGTGCGGTGGTGCTCACTCCTGCAATCCTAGCACTTTGGGAGGTCAAGGCAGGGCAGATCACCTGAGGTCAGGGGTTGGAGACCAGCCTGGCCAACATGCTGAAACCCCATCTCTACGGAAAATACAAAAATTATCCAGACGTGGTGGCAGGCACCTGTGCTCCCCGCTACTCGAGAGGCTGAGGCAGGAGAATCTTTTGGACCCGGGAGACGGAGGTTGAAGTGAGCCGAGATCACGTCACTGCACTCCAGCCTGGGCGACAGAGACTCCGTCTCAAAAATTAAAATAAAATAAAAATAAAATGTTGCATGAGTATCTTCCTTTCTCATGGGAATAGTAACTAATGAAGATAGAAGTGATGAGATCGCAGCACAGCAGCAATGGCTCCGCGGAGATGAGGCGCGCTGCCCTTTCCCTCCCCACCGGGGATCCAGGCGCCATCCGTGGCTCTGGTGGTTTCTTCCTAAACTTACTTCATGGGGACTCCCAGGCCACAGATAGCTGAGTGCGCTTCACCTGGGCTTTTCTTTTGCAGCGATCACTCTCGGCCCTGCATTGGCCTTGACCACAGAACCCGGAGGCACAGGGAGAAGCCTCCCCTGGAAGCCGGCGAGTTGACTTCAGCGGCTGAGACTGTCCGGGAGAGCCGGGAGCACCGCATGCTTCCTGCAGATGGCGGGCAGGCCTGTGCGCAGGAGCACCTGCGTCCCTGAAGGGGATCTCCGTGGCGCTACCTGGTCCAGGCAGGTCACAGAGGGCTCCTCAGCCCTGAGCGCAAGAAGGTGCACCAAGGACAAGATTCAGCACCGTCACGCCAGAACAGCTACACGGAGCCACAGGTCACTTTCCAAAGAGGCAGTTTCCAGGCCAGAAGCCACCCCTGCAGCACTGCTTTATGCTCCAAGAGAAGGCCCAGCACACAGCTCTGCTCCGATGGAACCACTGTTCCCTCAGTGTCCTTGTCAGCGCCAGGTGACTTTCCGACCCAACCCCTCCCTCCCTCTCTGCCTGGTTTTCTCCAGGTGCCGTGTTTGCCTGAAAGGACATTTGCAGCCAGCAGTGGTGGCGGCTGGTCCTTTGGATGGGCACGAATGCCATTGTCAGGCAACAGGGACAGACTCCGAGGAAAGGTGCTTCCCTTCCTCCAGGTGTGCGCCCAGCAGGGAGTCCTCATTTTCAACTGCAGAGTTAGCCTGCAGACTGCACAGCACCTCGCCTGCTTCTCCGCCCTGCTCCAGTCAGCGCAGGACCCGCCACAGCAGGACCCCCCACCCGGTGCTCACCCAGCGCTTGTCCATGGCATGGAAACTCCTTCCTGGTCCTGATTCCCTTCTGGGCGTGGGGTGGGAGGGACATGTGGCCCGTGCCGAGGTCTAATACTGTGTTCCCAGCATGGAAGTAGGTGCCCTGAAGAAGAGCGGGGACACCTATTGTGGCATGCAGGGATTCTGTGTAGAAAACCGTGACGTCACCCCTCCTCCCCACTCGGTTTTGCGAGTGGACCACTCCCTCTCCTTGTCCCAGTCTTGGCAGGAGAGAGGAGGAGAGGATGTCACTTTTCTCCTGCACCAGCCCACCCTCGGTCTGCAGGGATCCCCGAAGCTGGCCAGGGCCACTCCACACCTGGTGGTCAAGTAACTGCCCTCACTCTGGGCATCTGTGCCCTCTCTGGAGTTGGGAGAGGAAAGAAAGTCAAGACCTTTAAATGTGCCTTGAGTCAGGACACGTTTCTGTGGAATCGGGTGAGGAGGAGCCAGGCACCCGTGTGCTCTCCACACCCCAGAGCTGGTGCCCCGTTCCTCGGTTCATGATGGACAGCAGGGAAAAACGGGGCTACTGGCCTGTGGGTGGCAGTGCAGGGGGCACCGCCTCCAGCTGATGCCCAGGGACTCCTGGGGGCCCTGGCCACTGGTACCGGCAGTGGGTTCTGTCTCTTCTTTGCCCTGTAAATGCAGGGTCTGCCACCCCGAAACGTCTCATCTGCATTTGGTGAAATGGGAAGCTCCGTGGCTTTTACTCATCCTGGAAGCTGAATGAGAGGTTCCCTGTCATAGGAGCCACAGTGGCATGGCCCATGCCCACTCTGCACTTGGCTGCAGAAAGTGAGGGACTGTCGGGGCACGGCAGAAACTTGGTTTATGTGTGTCCTTGGCCAGAGTTCTGTTTTTCCTCCAGAAGAAAGGTTTCTGAACACGCTGCTGTGTTCTTCATTCCTTCTTTTGGAAATGTATGAAGAAAGGGTGGCATTTTAGAGTTACTGGCCTGTGAAATCTCTAGAGAAGGCAGTAGATGTGGGTGGGTGTGGCCGCCTCTGCACCTCCCCAGCACAGTGGTGTGTGGGTAGCCCAGGCAGACGCTCAAGAAGGGCGAGGTGGAGACTCGTGTGCTCTGAGCACAAAGTCCTGGAATCCCTTCAACCCAAGCACTGCCCAGAGAGCAGCCCGCATCGCTGATAGAAGAAGCGCTATTGGTTGGAAGTCCAGCTGTTGCCAGACAGGGGGCGTCACTAGAGAGCCGCGCTCCATGGGGGTCATTCGTGTTGTCTCTGAGTACCCGGACACTATTGCTTCTAGAGAGTCAGAAGTTCCATGTGGGTGGTGTTGGAGCAGACTTTTGGGATAGCGATGGAAAGCCTCCTCCCAAGCCAGCTGGTGAGTAAGGGGAGGGGTAGCTGGAGGAACCTGGCATCCCCGGGTTAGGGCCACAGGCGTGGCTCTGCCCGCAGCTCGGCCTCTGCCCACATCTTGACTCTCCATGCTTTGGCGCTCAGTCTCCTTGTCCTTCCCTCTTCTCAGTGCAGGAGGACCCTGGATCAAATGCCTCATCCTGGTTTGTGTTTTACCCTTGGATGAAGCTTGCAAACCCTGGGGCTCTGTGGACCTTGCAGAGGCTTGCAGAGCCTGGGCTCAGAGACTCTTCTCCCTGGGGCAGGAGGCAGTGTGGTGTGTGGACAGGGCTGGCCTGGAGCACAGTGGCTGCCTCGGGGACTTCCTAGCTTTCTGGGCCTTTCCAGCCCTGAGTGTGACCTTCCAATTCTTCATCACATCCCCTAACCTGGGAGCCTGCTGGAGCCTGCAGAATGCGGCCTCGTCCTCTTTCTCTGTGAGCAAAGAAGGGGCCTGGCAGTCCCGGGAGTCTCGGACACTTGCTCCCCACCTCCCTGGTGAGTACGTTCTTGGTGGACTTCTCTCCTTGCCTTCACTCTAGAGAATGCCCCTGTTTTGTGATGCAGGATGTGGTCAATGACTGACGCGTTCTTCAGAGTGTCAATATCTCTTTCGACACAGCTCTGATTTCTGGTGCTCCTGGGCTCTGCACACAGCAGGCGCCACTCTGGGCTCTGTGAGATGCATCCTGCAGTTCACTGGTCTTCTAGGTGGCTCTTTTCCCTGCGTACTCTGCCACTGCCCTGTTCTGGGCAGGAGGCCCTCACCCTCAGGTGGGGGGTCCCGCCTCCGCCTCCCGCCTCCCGCATTTCGCCTCCTCTCTTTGATCCTTTCCTGTAAGGTTCTGCTGGGGTTCTGTGTGTCGTTCATTGTTGATAGATTTCCATCCTGCTTGCTGTCCTCTCCATTCTGAGGGACCTCTGAGAGCCTGTGAGCAGTTCAGAGGGGCCTCTCCTGGCCCCTTCACCCATGGAATTCCGGCAAAGGGGTCGTGCTTGTGAGGGGCGCATCCTGGGAGTTTAGGATGTCAGGTGAGAAGGGAGAGCCCGTCCTCGTCCTCTGGGCTGCTCCAACAAAGTGCATTAGTCTGGGAGTTATAAGCCCCAGAAATGTATCGTCAGAGTTCTGAAGGCTGAGAAGTTCAAGATCAAGATGCCTGAGGATTCAGAGCCTGGTGAGGGCTGGTTCCTTAAGGCAGTGCCTCTAGCTGTGTCCTCATGTGGCTGAAAGGGCCAGGGGAGGTTTCTAGGGCCTCTTTGATGAGAGCACTAACTTCTCCAGGAGAGGATCGTTAATAATGCTGGTCTGGCTTCCGGACGATTCCAAAGGCCCCAGCTGTTCATTCTACCCCATTGGGAATTAGGCTTCAACATATAAATTTAGGGGACGCTGACATTCAGGCCATAGCACGTCAAAGATGAAGTGAGGTGTGCATGTGGAAAGCCTCCCCGAATCTGGATGTGGACCAGACAGAAGGAAACTGAACGTGATGGTGTGACCGATGGTCACTGGTCTGTGTAGGACTCAGCTGTGAGCGTGGCCCTGGACATGGTGGCAGTGCCTGTTGGAGGATGACAGGGAACGTGTGGGGTTTTGGGGCCGGTGGAACCCACCATGAGTGGAAACTCCCTGCAGGCCCAGGATGCAAAACTAGAGGAGACTCCCTTCTCCCCTCCCTGCACAGAGTGTCACTTCTGTGGTGGTCCTGTCGTCTGCCTTAGCACACAGGTGTTGCTGTAACAACTCCTGCAATTACCTTCAAAAGGCGGCTTGTGGAGGTGCCTGCAGGAGACAGGAGGCCTGAAGCGCATCCTGAGTGTCCCGGGGACAGGCGAGCCTGGCAGGGGTCCATACCCCACAGTCCCAAGAGCTGCCTCAGGGACAGGCAGAGCACATGCTTGGTTCTGGCTCGCAAGGTCCCCATCTCAGAGCTGTGGATAGTCGTAAGGAGTCCATGAGCATGAAGAGGGCCACAAATGACCCATGAACGTCAGGCCTCTCTGCTGCCATCAGCCAGGTGCAATGCACCGGCCTTTCGGGCCTCGAGATCCTTCTGTCCTCTGGGCCTTGCTGTTTTCCTCCTCTGGCCCCTCTGTGTGTATGCACACACACATGCACGCATGCACACACATTCATTGCAATTCCTCTCTGTTTCTCTGTATTCCCCAAAATTCTGTGGGTTCCTCTTTACTCCTCAGAGATATAGGCCTGGGCCCCGTCCCACCCTGTAGAGGCCTGAACCTTTCCCAGGACTGTTTCTAATTCTCAGGTCCTGCTTTAAAATAAAAAACTAAACCACTTTCTGGAAAGAATTATACACCAACATAAAGCGCAGGTATCCTGAGCATGTGGTGCGTATGTTGTCTTGACCTGACTACGCTGGGAAACCACCATCTGTGTTAAAACCCAGTGTTTCCCAAGACCTGGAGGTGCTCCCCGGTCACTAACTGTGATCACCTGTCCCGATCACCACTGAGCCCTGGAGGTCACCGTCTCCTGACCTCTTACAGCACTGATTGCTTCTGCCGGGCACAGTTTTATACCTTTGCTGTTGAACAGTCTTATCATCCCCATAACCCGTGAGATCATCGTTCCCATATGACAGAGGAGAAAACTTGGGGACATGGGAGCTGTGTCCTGGATGAAGCTTGCTGGCAGGAAAAGGCAGAGCTGGAGTCCAGCCCGGAGCCCCAGCACAGTCCTGTCCTTCCCCCACTAAACTGGGCTGTGTAACATGTCATGGCGGTCTGGAAAGCAAGTTAGCTCCGTGCCGATGGAGGTGTTGATGCCCACCGCTCTCCACTTGGTGGGAGGAAGCCTTCATGTCCCCCTCAGTTCTGCCTCTTTCTGTGACTCAGAGCCTTGAGAAAGTGGGAGGCTCAGAGGAAGACAGGGACTTACTTGCCCAAGGCCCGCAGCTGCTAAGTGGCAGCTTAGGACCATTATTCTCCTGTCCCTTTCACAGAGGACAGGAGGAAGGTGAGGCCAGGTGGGGTACATGAGCTTAGCCTCCTCCTTGGGGCAGGCCCAGATCAGCTTTGCACATGGTTGGTGCTGACCTCGAATGCAGCCCTAGAGGGCGCTGTCTCTGTCCTGAGTGTTGAGGTGCAGGGTGCTGCTTTGTTCTGTCCACTGCCAGAACGGTGAACACACCTCCAGTGTGTTTCTGTGGATATTCTTGTGTGCATAGATGACTACTGTTGTAACATTTTATCCGGATTTAAAAATGCAGTATGCTATTGAAAATTAAAGAGAAATGTGTAATAAAATATTTAAAATATTTTTGTTCTGAATTGTCCGGTTCTCTGCAAAATATTTTGGTTTAACAATAACAAAGATAATATGGATATTAATAATGTTTCCTTGACAGAAATGG